GTCACCCCACACCCCAACACTCACGCCGACCTCTCAGTCCCCCTCGTGCGAGGTGGGGACACCTCACAACAGTCACCCCACACCCCAACACTCACACAGACCTCTCAGTCCCCAATCAGGTGCTGGCGCTGGAGAAGGGGGACAGCAGGGGGCAGGGCTGCGCCTGGCTAGGGCCCTGCCGCACCCCCTGTGCACCACTGCGCCCAGGACAGTGCCTGCCCCCCCTCGCGGGGCGCACCCCGCATCCACTGAGGCCATGTCGGGTGGCCCCGAGCCAGCGGGTGTCCAGCGGGGGTAGGGCGCTGCACCCCGACCTGGCCCTTCTCAGAAGCCAGGTGTGCCCCCGGCTGGGCACAGTGGTGACACGGCTGGGCCTCTGCACCGTCTCAGCTGTTGGGCGACCTTGAGGCCACAGGCCTGGGCACAGGCCGCGGGGGGAGGCCCCCCAGTGCTGCAGGGCAGGCCCCCGAGGTCTGGCCAGCCCAGCCCCTACCTGGCCTGCAGAGCCCTAGGCGCCACCCCTCAGGGGCCACCTCCTGGGCCCCTGCCCCTGCCCCTGCTCCCCAGCCTGCACCCCGCTGTGTCCTATCTGGGGCCACCTTCCCGCCCCACAGGCCTTTCCTGGCCAGCCGAGCTGGCGGTCCGCTCCCCGGCTCGGCCTCGGGCTCCGGCTGCCCTGCTCCTGCGGACACAGGAGCGGGCTGTGAGGACAGTGGGGCAGGAGTGGTGGCCTGTCCCCTGCGGCGCACAAGCCCCGCCACTGCCCAGGCAGGCTGCACCCAGGCAGCTGGGCGGCCCACCCCCCGGCTCGTCCCCCACCCACGGCCGGCAGAGCCAGTCCCTCCCTGGCCAGGAGGCTCTGGGTGGGCAGTGTGGGCGCCTGGCTGAGGGTCCTCCAGCGCTAATCGCCGCTTGACTCAGCCCGCGCCTCCCTAGCAACGCCTTTGTCCCCTAATTGGCTCTCTCCAGGCGCCTTCCTCTGCCCCCACACCGCGGGCTGGCCTGGCCCCAGGCCCAGCTATGTGCTAATGAGGCCTGGGGGCGCAGGGAGCCCCTCCCCTGCGACCTGGGCCCCCACCTGCCTCCACCCAGCCCCTCTGCTCTGGGGAGATGGGCGCAGGGCTGGCAGCCACCGGCCGGACCCTCCCCCGGCTGCCCCTGCTCAGACTCGGGTGCCGTGAGCAGCAGGAGTCCTGCAGGCCACCAGCCATGCACCCCGGCGTCCCCGCGGCCCCCACGGCCCGGGACCCCAGCCCCAGGGAGCTGTGTGCCTTCGTGAGCGGGGCGACTGCCCACGTGCTGCGCGCCCTGCAGCCCCGGCGGGCGCGGCCCCCCAAAAGGAGGCCCAACCACAGGCGGTTCCTGCACAGCCAGCTCTGCAGGTGAGGGGCTGGAGGGCGGGGCCTGGGCGGGGCCTGGGCGGGGTGCCCCACCCGAGGGGGCCGGTGCGCCCGCAGGCTGCGTGCCAGGCCGAGACACGGGGCCAAGCTGCGGATAGGCTGGGCAGCGCGGAGGCTGCCCCAGGGCACGGGGAGGCCCGGCCAGAGCAGACCAGCGGCAGACGGCAGATGTGGCCCAGTGGGCGGGCTCCTGGGGCAGGGAGACGCCCGCGTCAGGGGCAGGCTGCTGGGCGCGTCCTTCTGAGTGACCGGCTCTGCCAAGTGGGCACTTGGGGTCTCGGGGCGAGGCAGGGAGGCCTGGGGGCCCATGCAGGGTGCTGGACGGCTTACTTTGGCACCAGGGGCCACCCTCAGCCTCGTCACGCAGTGCCCCCACAGAGCTGTCCCCAGGTTACAGGGAGGCCCCACCACGTGTCCAGCGAGTGGACACTGCCCAGACACCCAGGACTCACTGGGGCCTGCTGAGACAGGCACATTGGGATGGGAATGGGGGAGCTGGGGGAGGCAGATGGCCAACAGGACGTGGGGACACCCCTGGAGCCGTTATGAACTCCCGGGTACCCTGGGGCCCCGTCGGGGGTGGTGCTGTGTCCCTCCTTTCTCAGATGAGGGCTGGGCAGGGCCTGCTCTCCCCTGAGGGGTGGTCAGCCTCACCCCGAGACCTGTCCCGGGGCCTGCCCCCGGGGTGCCCTCCCCAGGGCTGCTGCTGAGCCAGGGGGTGGCGGGCACCGGGTCTCCTGGTCCAGCGGCCGCGGGCCCCGGCCGCCCCCTGGCTCCTTGCAGCTCGGAAGCAGCTGCAAGGAGCAGGCGCAGTGACGCAGGTCTCAGCCGCCGGACGGTGCAGGCTCCTTGGCCGCGC